ACAATTACAAAGTGACACCTCTTCGTTTTGCACGTAGCACGTGCATAAGGGGTCACCCACATGCATCGGGAATAGTCCAATACTTGGTAGAAGGAATAAAGCTACCGTACAAAAATTACCGCGTGTAAATCGGTCAAGTGGTTGCTGAGATAGAAGCGTCGCAGAACCGTGACCGCGGCCGGTCGGCCGGCCGCTCATACTCAGAAATTTCCGTTAACTCAGTAAATGCCGTGAATATCAAAATATATTGGCTTGTTTTTACTCGTGGGAAAGTTGTAAGGCTTTGGTCACGAAAAAAAGAGCAGTGGAGCATACCTTTAGGTTCCAAAGGTATGCTTGGATAGTGGATACTTCTGGTAGGTATCCAAAGCGAGAAAAAAAAACAGGAGGAGTTGACGAAATTCCCCCCCCCCCCCCCCCTCCACTGCGGTAAGGTCCTGCACCTTCTCCGAAGGTTCAGATGACTTCTCCGAGGGTTCAGGTGACATCCTTCACCAATATTTTTGGCGCTCCTACACCCATGGTCCCGGTAAAGGAGGGAGCGTGGCAACAACCACTGGGTATCTGTATTACTGAAGTCATCATGAGGCACCAGTCAGTGTCAACATCCGCCACGTACTGAAGAGTTGGGGCGCTGCACGGTACTCTGAAGAGCGGAAAACATGGCCTCTCGTCCGATACCAGCTATCGCTAGCTAAATATAACCACCGCTCAGTCTGAGGATTGATTGAGATTTCTTCGACGGTCACCAATACCTCACCAGCCGACTGTAGTCACACAGTCGTCTGTTGTTACCTGTCGGAGGGTGAGGATTGTGTGCGGGGTGATCACTCTTCCACGGTGTGGATCTGGACAGTCCAATACATAGCGGTAGCAACTAGCAGACATGGAGTGGTCCTGTCAAACACCGTTGATGAACATGCTTATACGAGAACCCACCTGGGATCTCAGTACAATTTCCGTGTTGTAACAAAAGTCGCACAGTAGGTACCAAGCAGAACTAATTCGTAAAAGTCAGAAGCCTGAAAAGCTAGCGTCATCAAAAATGTCCCTTTATTTGACTACTGGGTTAAGGCTGATCCGAACTCATTTCAAGTTCCCAAATCCTCCTAGCTTGACCGGGACCTATTCACCACCATTCCTTTGTGACCCGACCCGAGCAAATCGCGCCAGCTCCATCTTGCACTGTATTTTCCAGATGTCTGCGCCGTCCCCAAACCCCTTCCCTAACCGACGTCACGCCAACCACACCATCCTGCCTGCGGCTAGTGGAGACGGCGGTGTCACACCGCCTATCTGACGGCCTTCCTGGCCAGTCGGCCGCAGTTGTCGTCACCCTTCCTGTGCCGGACGTGGCGGTGCAGACCAGCGCTATCAGTGGAGCCCGGCCGGGACGGTCTTCCTTCGCAGTTAGCTGAGTCGTGCCTGGCTAATTACGGAGCGAGCGAAGCGAGCGTAGTCTTTCCTTAGATTAACGGAAATTTCTGAGTATGAGCGGCCGGCCGGCCGGCCGGCCGTGGTCACGCTTTTGCGAGGCTTATATCTCAGCAACCACTTGACCGATTTACATGCGGTAATTTTTGTAGGGTAGCTTCATTCCTTCTACCAAGTATTGCACTATTCCCGATGCATGTGGGTGACCCCTTATGCACGTGCCACGTGCAAAACGAAGAGGTGTCACTTTTGTAATTGTTGCAATATCTCGGTAACTACTGGGCCGATTGCGCTGAAAGTTGGCATGTAGGTAGGCATCCACTAGGCAATGCATATCCATGTGCCAGAGTTGGGGTGCAGCTGCACGTGCGCACGTGCAGGGGTCGTTTCCAGATCTCGAGAACGGCTGGACCGATTGCGCTCAAATTTGGTACACGGTTACGGAGCAGTTAGTAGGGTGCCGTGCACAAGTCAGTTGGGACCCATTTTGCACGTGCGCACGTGCAGGGTGCCGCTTCCAGATCTCGAGAACGGCTGGGCCGATTGTGCCCAAATTTGGCACATCGCTAGAGACCAGTTAGTAGGGTGCCGTGCACAAGTCAGTTGGAGGTACCCCCTCGCAATTTCGCACGTGCAAGGCCCACCCTCTCGCTCGCTCCGTTAGTCGCCCCAAAAGGCGTTATACTGGTATTATATTTACACTACATCCAGTGGCCACCACACGCAATTGTTACCATGTAATGGTTCGGTACAGATGTGTATGAATGTACCGTTCCGTACATGCCTCCTAATGTATAACAGCCTTTACGAGAAAACACATTACACATGACATGTATCATAAAAAACATGAAGCCTATTAACAACAGTAATTACTCACTAAGCCCATTTCAATAAACATCCTTGAACAACAGTTTGTACTTGTATAACAACAAAGGCCACCCTGTAACACATCGAATAGGTAGGTATACAACTATTTACACGTGATGAACATCAAACATCCACATTTTGTACATAATGATGCCAAAACTCACCTAAAACCTACCTATTTGTCTAAAACCTATCGATTTGTAACTTCCCGGTCTCAGTGAAACGGTAATGATATACCAATCGCCACGCCATATGTGGAAGGCTTTTGGTGTCAATACATACATACATACATACATACATACATACATACATACATACATACATACCATATTATTTGTGAATGTTTTCATTTCCTTTTTCAAATATCTGCACAGTCGACACATTCTGAACTTGTCTGACACTGTAAGCATATATCTGTTCCTCGACTTGTTCTCCCTAGTGGCGCCTCCTCGGGATGGTCCGCGACTCCGCTGATATCCTGAAACACAAACAGAATAGGTTTGGATATACCAAATATGAGCCGGAGGAGACCTAACCCTCGCAGGCCGAGGGGGCGGGTGCCCCCCTCCCCCACATGTTTTTTTTCGCGATAACTATGAACACGTTGGATATGGAGAGCTGAAACTTGGCATACCTGACCTTTGATTCAAGCCGGATATTGTGACACCAACCACATTTCCCGGTCAGGTCAGGTCACTGACCTATGATGTCACAAGTAAACCTCTGCAAGGTCCTCAGAATTCACAAATTCAAAACGCCTTCAGTCCCAGACCAGCTCTTAGAGGGAGATGAAATTAACCGGACCTGTAGGTAGTGTTCTCCAAAGGTCTCACAACTTGTGTACGTAGGACTTTTCCTAATGGTCACATGAGGTCACGTCGGTCACGTAACCATTATGAGTGAATGTGTGAAAAGAAAATGAAAGGTTTCATGCTTCCATTTTGTAATGTTGACCTTGTGTGACGTCATTTATGACGTCACTAGGGTCATAAAGAGTATTTCGTCAATAACTCCCGATCAAATTATGCTAGCGAGTCGACAAAGCCAACAATGGACTCAGGAAGAACTGCTGAATCGAATGCTATGCGATATGACCATTGACCTCCTTCGACCAACTCCGTGACCGAGGGGCTCTGACCTGACCTTGACCCAAGAAGGTCAACATCTGAACTTGACCTAGCCCGTACAAAAGCATATCATTCGACGCGCCTGAGCGAGGCGAACACGTTGGTGCCACATTAGCGGCACTGCGGCCTTTGTTGCAAAGTTTTTTTTTTAACAAAAATCGAGCCCGTGCTTTGGGCCACTAGACCTGACAATAGAGGTCACCGGTTGACCTGAGACCTTAAAATTTGGTACCAGTCGATGCGTCTCGTATCGGCGCACACGATCGCTTTTTTTTCTGCAAGGCTCTAGCTCCATCAGGGGCGAAACGTCAAGGGTCGTACCCCCTCCCCCACCCCTCGGCCGGCGAGTTTGTAGAAAGTCGGCGGGTCCGTCGAAGGCTAATGAACATGAAAAAGCTATGGTGTTTTTCATTTCTTCCATTTGGTTTGTCCCTCAATTATTTCATCCTGATTGAATACAGAAAACGTTGAATAATTTTCATCAAAATAAACTCACGTCGGTCACTTTCCGTGGCGCCGCTCCTGCTTGTTCCACCGACAGCCGAGGCGCCGCTCCAGATCATTCCTCTCCTGCCGATGACGTCTCCTCTGCTCCTCCAGTTCCTGGTTGTGCCGGTCCTGGAGCTGGATGAGCTGCTGGCGGTGTCTTCGCGTCGCCTCTATGAGATTCCGGAGGTGCTCAAGGTGCCGGTTTGGCTGCCGTCCCCGTTCTTGTTGTTGCCGCTGCTGCTGCTGTTGTTGTTGTTTTTGCTGTTGCTTCTGCTTCTGCCGCTGCCGCTGTTGTTGTTGATGCTGATGCTTTTGCTGCTGTTCTTCCTGCTGATGATGCTGTTCGGGCTGCTGCTGCTGCTCCTCCTGCTTCTTGAGGTCTGGAATAAGAATGTCCGAGATTGGTAGAAAACATAAATGATGGTGGACACAAATTAAGCCTAGAATCAGGGCGGAGACATTGTACCCAGCTTTTTGAGATGACTGACACGACTATTTGGTAGTTTATATATGCGGCTGATCACGACCAGAATGTAGCTATAATATTTTTGAGCTCGGTCGTATTCATCACAAATGCTAATACGACACTGGATATGTTCACTCATCTAAATCTGATGTCTTACCTCGTGCAAGTGTCTCCTCATTTTCTAGCTCCTTCTCCAGCTCCTTCCCCAGCCGCTGACGCCTCCTGCTGCACTCCTCCATCAGCCGATCCAGCTCCTCCCCTGTCCGGATGTTCGGGTATCTCTCCTCCAGCTCTTGTGTTTCTCGTCGGTATCTCTGCTTCATTTTGTTCCACTGCTTCTGGAACTCCTGCTGCTGGTCGTCCCACTCGCTTTGGTTCTTTCGCTCCAGCACTGCACATTGCCTACGTTTCCTCCGATTCAGCAACTCAGTCTGCCTTTGACGTTTCTCTACAAGGAGCTGCAACTGTCCCTGAGTCTGAAGCTTCACGCACCTGACAGCACTGTCGTGTAGCTGATGAAGCCGTTTTCGCTCCTCATGGTGCCGCGTTTTCATTTGCCACCACATCTCATCATGATGTCGCTCCAGACGCTGGCACTCCTCATCATGTTGCTCGTTCAGACTCCTCCTCTCCCCGTAGCCCCGCGGCTCGAGCTCCTGCCACAGCTGCTGGTGCTGTCGCTCCAGCTGCTGCCATTTCTCTCGCAGAAGGCGAGGCAGACCCTCCGATGTCTGCCCCTCGTCTGCGTCACGCCGCTCCTGGCCACCGGTCTCTCCGCCGTCGTCATCCTGCTCCGAGTCTGAAACACAGTAGGTTAGGTGGGCGTTAATAGGTCCATTGGTAGTCGAGAGACTAAGTGGCAAGACAGACACAACTTAGCGTCAGTAGAGGTGAGACAGGAACTGGTCAGATGAAGGTCAGACGGTTGGGTTGATTTGAGATGGTCACTGGGGGCGGACGGAAAGAGAAGGTCTGTCAAAAGGGTCAGGCGGGGGAGATTCTGGTGAAATGGGACGAATGTCATTCGGTGGTCAGATGGGAGGAACATCGGTGGAGTTAGGTGGGAGGTCAGTCGGTGTGGTCAGGTCAGTGGTGGTGGTGGGGGGGGGGGGGGTGATGTGGGAGGTCAGTAGGTTAGATGCGAGATCAGGTGAGAGGAAAATCGGTGGGGTCAGTGTAAGGTCAGTCCGTGGGGTTACGTGGAATGTCACTCGGTGGCCTTATGTATTTATAAATACAAAGACCAAAGACGCTTAAACATCACACAAAGTTATAAAAGTAGTTTATTGCCTCAACCTGAACCTGTAGTTCTTTATTACCACGCTTTATTTGAGCTGTTGCTTGGTAAGAACCTGAGATCCATATGTATTAAGTATTTTGTCAATTAATGACATAGTGTTTACTGATATATAACACAAGCAGAATTGAATACTATTTTTAGCATCATACTTTCTGTCTTTTTGAAACTCGGGCATTTAAACAACCCGAAAACGCATATCTTTCATGCATTCTACAATGTCCGAAGATCTCAAATTTGACACCATATCACGTACCTATATTAAAACAATATATCACTTAAAAGTCACATAATATTTTTTTAGTCAATACCGAAAGTCACAGTATAAATAAAAATAATAAATTAAATAACAAAATAATCAGTAATGTACAAAACTCTGCATATTCTTATGAGACCAATCGAACTGCTCTCGTATGTTGTCGCCACGTCAGCAATGACACGGGGAGTTATTGAACTTTCAGTAAAAGCGGTCGTCGCCACTACCATCTTACCTTCCGAGTCGGTCTCGTCCACCGCCAGGTAATAGGGCATCATCTCCCATCGGTCCGGCCACCAGCCGGTGACGGCGTCATAAGCAGTACGCAGTCGGTCACCGGACAGCAGCTGCTGCAGCCGGCGGCGCCAGAGGCCGGCCGTGGCGTCCACGGACGCGGCGTCCATCTCTGGCAGTCCTCGATGGAGCAGCTCATGCAGGTTAGTGTTTATTTGCCGCTCCAAATACTCTCGGGTCTCCTGGTAGGTACCCATTGGTCGGTAGTTACTCATCCATCTGTTCTTCGCTGCCTGGTCCTCATTCCGCCACCAGTCCATCTCATCCGGTGCGTTCACGCGGAGAGCCTGCAGCAGCAGCTCGGGCCGCAGCAGCAGCTCGGCACCAGGGTATATTGAGTGAAGGGTAGGACGAACTTTGGTAGGAATTTCTAGTATAACTACTAGAAAACCTACTATATGTGGTCGGGACTAGCAAAAACTTAGTTCAAACTAGAATATGGTAGCGCTTATGGTTGGCAGTCGTGACGCGCACGTGACATTCATTTATTAAATTTCTTAAATAACAGGTTTTAGGGGCCGATTAGTGGGCAGATACATTCAATTAGTTATTAATAATTGATTATGCAAACATTCAAGAATCTACATCATTCAATTCTAGCCGAAATCACGCGGCGCTCCCAGGATTCGAACTCACGACCCTCGGATCCGTAGCCCGATACGCTACCGACTGCGCTACCGAGGACCGCGCGCCAACGATCGGAGAGCCGGATCGCGGGTGCTGGCGTGCAGAGAAATCTTTACCCTGTACGCCGTAGAAGATCGGCTGGGTTTCGTGAAAAATGGTAGAGGAATTGTCGAAAGAAAATTCATCGATCTATCATTTGAGACTAAGAACCATTGATTTCTTCAAAGGTTGACCGAGATATCGCCTGCCGAAAACAGGCCATTTAACATGTAAACCCTATGGGCTGGTAGGAAATGTACGCCGTGGAGCAGCAGTGCTACCAACTAACTTCGGCGGGGGCCGGCTCGGCACGGCCCCGCGGTGTGTCCAGCTCGGCGGTCAGTCCGGCCGGCCGCTCCTCCAGCGGCCGCCGCAGCTGTTGACTACACCAGGTGGCCACCCTGTCCGGGTCACCCAGCAGGTAAACTAGGTCAGACCTGGTGAGGAGATTTGTCAGTGGCGTCACGTCCAGCGTGACGATGTCGCTGGCCGGTGATGTCATCAGCGTCCCGCCCACCAGGTCTGCCAGGTCGACTACGGTCCATGCCATAAACAGGTAGCACTGCTGGTAGTGTGTTTCTGAGTCCTTGTAGTGGTACCACTGTAGTAGCAGTGGAGCTGTGCGGACCAGCGATGGGATGGCCTGCTTCCACCAGATCTCCCAGAATGGGGCTGTGGGACGGTAACTGATACCGCCAAGTATAGCGTGCAGTACCAGCGTCCGTGCGAGACGGAGCCGCAGCTCTCGCTCTGAGGGTGGCCCCGTCCCTCCCTCCAGCAGCGGATCCACGTGCCACAGACCCCCACAGCTTCCCATCAGAAGGACCGTAGCATGCTCCCTCATCAGCCTTATGGTGTTGATGGTAGCCCGTCTCTGGTCTGTGCTAAGTGTAGCGGCCACATCAATGTTGTGATCGAAAAAGCAGGGTAGTCTTCCAGCGGCGAGGTTTGCCTCCAGCCAGTCCAGTATTTTGTGAACACCGTCAGTGATGCCTTTCCACGTTTCAACGGGCGTGATCTGTGCTAGCCAAAGTCCCGCCGTCTTTATAAAGTATGATTTCAATGGCACGTCCTCGCTCACCACCTCGTTCTTTTTCATTATACTTTTCATGGATTTTACAGCCACGATAGCCGCTCGTATCACTGGAGCGAGGTGGCGGACGGCTACCACCTCCGGCCGTGAGTAGGAAATCCGATACTCGATAAACTCGGTGTCACTGCCGGGCCGGCCGGTCGGCACAAGGTGTACCCCGTATCGACGGATGTCCTCCCTCGCCGCCGCTGGTGGAAAGTCGGCCTCCAGGTGACATCCGTCGAGGTGGTCTTCCGCCGGCCACCATCCGCGCACAGCGATACAAGGCACGAAGTCAGTGCCGCCGTCTGTAACATCATCTGTATGTTTGACGTTCACCGCCGGTCCGGCAGTGTCGATCTTGCCTAACATTATTACTGTACACACGTCCCGCATGAGGCGACGAATAGAATCAGCCGGCATGGCCTCCAGCGGCTGATCATGACAGCACGCTTTCGTTCTGACCCAGTGCAGAGTCACAAAGCCAGGATTTTTGGTCGGCCGGGCCCACAGCTGTGGTGCATACTTTGGGCTAATAACGGCCGGCTCATCTCTCCTGCCGGGCGCCGCCCAGCGAAAGGGTCCGTCGAACTCCAACATAACGTCGAAATCCGACGTCCCTCCTACGCCGACCAGCCCGTCCGTCAGCCCCTCGGCACTGCTGCCCGATCCATTGATGGAGGCTATCCTGAGGGGCTGGTCGGGCTGGCAATACCGACACCGGGCGGCGGCGGAGTCATTGACATTCTGCAGGGCCGCCATGAGTGGTTCGGCCACCAGCCAGGTGACAGCGTTTCTCACCTCACTCTCAGTACAATACCCTTGCCACGCTGCAGAGTGGTTTTTAATCATGTCGGTTGCCAATAGCAGCGTGTCTGGGATCAGGTGTGCACACGATCCGTATTTTCGCACTAAACTTCTCACTCTCCAATCCAGTCCTCTATGTAGTCTCTCGATCCTCTCCGCTCTCCGCGCACCAAACACACCGGGTCGGGACATGGCTGCCGGCCGCTCTGACACTCACGAACTGACTGAGGTCGTCCGACGCCACTGCAGATATACTTATGGAGCCCCGGCGGAAGCCGAGATAAGAGTGAACGCTCCGTGGCTGTCAATGTTCACCGGCGGCGAGTGACACGCTCTGTCAATATTATGTAGAGTATCCACCCTGATTGTGGTCCAACATCCCACATGATTTGCAGATCTCACCGGGATCTGCAAATAATCAATATTAATGGTTACCTCATTGTAACGGACACAAGGAAAATTGACCGCTATATAACAAACCAAACCTGCGGTCTTTATAGCAAAGTAAATTCCCACAAAAATGCCTTCAGGTGAATTTTACCCCAAGTTAGGCCACAGAGGTGAACCTTATTCTCTACTGAAGTCGGCTTCCGGCGGGTGGCGGCTGTCGGTGGAGCCTCTGCCTATCTTCCAACGATAGCTGTGACCCGACGGACAATTGCTGAACCGCTGATTCCTGGCCTTTCTTAGGTGTCGAACGGTGAGACCAGTGCAGTCCATTTCGCAGTGTTAATGAAAGAGGCATGGGACGGTTGATAGCAGGGCGTTCAGCAAACATCGTCTGACTCAAACAGAAATGTATGTACAGGCATTTATGTGCTGTCAGTAAGTAGTAACTGGTTAGGAGCAGGCCCATGTCACTCCACTTTTGATGACATCATCTGGGGGCCTCAGGACAATAATGGCGCGGCGCGCCACAATCGCTTCAAAGCTACTTGCCAACAGTTGCCATTTTTGAAAATATTATTTTGAAATAAAGTTCCAAGTAATAAAAATATTGTAATAAAGTTGTTGAATAAATCGATACCATATCTAAAAACTTACTGAAAAATGATTTATTCATAGTAAAAATATAAGCTCGATGCGTTTTTACGTTGCTTTCCTTCAACTGCAGAGGGTTTTTAAATCGTCTATATCTTCAAAACCGGCCATTTCTTAGCATATTGCTGCTCTTTTTTATCGCTAGAAAATTAGTTGGACTTTCCAATGACATCAATGGTTGAGCGATATGTGTAGAGTGTCACCAACAATCTTCAAATGATATTAGTCATTTTTACGTTGTAAAGGAATGGAGTATCCCTATCGAGCATCAGGGGTGACGTCACTCAGGATCTGTCTCTGATTGGTCGGCGGGAGAATGACTGTACCTTCTATATGTAGATGGCCTTGGTTAGGAGGTGCCTCGTGATGTGCATTGAGACCCGCTTATCCGCAATGAGTGTCCAGCCAGACATCGATATTGGCTGTTCGTGACAGGGCTGAACGGTGTCACAAAACTGAACTGGGTGTGTCCGTTGTTACACTATGACCGTTTTCACGACGGAACTTTCGCAGTGGAACCTATTTGATACCTGGAAAGTACCTACCCTTGAGGCCTTATAATCCTTACAACTGAAGTATTTATCTTCAAAATATTTTTAAAAGTTGTAATCCGGACAGTTTTTGCCCTCAAATCACTTACTTTTTACAAACAAAGCAATTTTCTGTTCTAGTGTCTCGTCTTTCTACTATGAGGGAGCAAATCAGCGTGGCAACCCGCCAGCCGGCTTCTGGTTCACCGGCCCGACGCTGCGCGCCCGCCGCCGCCCTGTAGCAATGACATTGACCTCCACCATCTGCTGCGGTCCAAAGCCAAGCCAGCGTGTAATGCAGGGAGCTCGGTCAGCCGTGGTGGTGCCCGGGCGCAGTGACATTGACTTCCGCCGTCTGCTGCGGCTCCAAAGCCAAGCCAGCGTGGAATTGGAATAGCTCGGTCACCCGCAGCTGGCAGCTCAGTATATTGTCTAATTAATCATTGTACTAGCACTATATAGATTTGAGAATCTCATAAACGTGCTTACGCTTTAGGTTTACGTGAGTGGTAAACCCTTAAATAAAATAAATTAATGTCATATTTAAAAGAAAAATAGCAAAATAACTGACAACTCATTCGAAAGCTGGGAAACCTACTAAAAAGAACTACTAAAATTCCTGAGGAACCAAAGGATCAAACAGGTAGGTATCAAATAGATTCCTGCTATTCCGTCGTGAAAACGGCTTATGTTCTGCACTCTATCAAACCTATAGTCTGAGGTGATAGTCACAGACGAGAGGACCGATGCAGCCACGGTGGTCTGGTGGCCGGCACCGCTGACCCTTAGGTCAGTGAAGGTCATCAAAGGTCAAGTGTTGGGATGTTATGGCCGTTGTGTCGTACGCTCTGAAGAGTTTGGCAGCGCCACTGCCCACTATGGTGGTGGCGTTTTCAAAACAAGAAGCTAAAAGTGTCACCAAAAATGATCCTTTTAACAGCAGGAAAAAATGTTTTACGGTTTCCTACGCCGGCTACGGTTTCCTGAGCCGGATCTGATGCTACTTCCCAAACCCTCATGGGCTGCCCGGACCCATAGGTTGCTTTTTCCTTGTGACCGACCAGTGCAAATTTCATCAGTTTCATCGTGTGCAATATATATATATATATATATATATATATATATATATATATATATATATATATATATATATATATATATATATATATATATATTGCACACGATGAAACTGATGAAATTTGCACTGGTCGGTCACAAGGAAAAGCAACCTATATATATATATATATATATATATATATATATATATATATATATATATATATATATATATATATATATATATATATATATATATATATATATATATATATATATATATATATATATATATATATATATATATATATATATATATATATATATATATATATATATATATATATATATATAGTTACATATATATATGTTACGGGCCATATGCTAACTTGGGCAGTATGCATACCACCCGGGTAGTATGCATACTACCCGACCCCTTGGGCAGTATGCATACCGCCCAAAAGCTTGGGCAGTTTGCATACTGCCCGCTTCTTGTATTGAAGTTGTGTATTCCATGTCCATTTTCAAAATGTTAATGACTAAGTAACGTAGCTCAAACGCGAAGTCTTTTTGCCGTCAAACGTGATTTATCGATTGAAGGGTGGAGTAAGGATTGGAATATAAAGACTTGAAATTATTTTCCCAAAATTTTATTGTAAATTAGCCAGCGGCTAACAAGTCATTTACATCTGAAATGACGACTGATCTATAGTGTCATCACTCGATTTGGTTTGGCACCTGGATCTGTAGAGGGCGGTAATATAGTTTAAATAGCTAATGTTGCATAAACCATTACATGTAAGACGTCACAAATTATTATGGTCAAGTTACCAGGTCATAGGCCAGTTTTACCAACAGAAAAATAGCCGCCTGCCAGAATTTTTTGTCTAAAGACCGCTTCACATATGAGCATTAACGGTAAAGCCCTATCCGCTTACGTGGCCATCGCGGTTACGCGCCGTATGTGAAGCGGTCTTTGGACAAAAAATTCCGGCAGGCGGCTATTTTTCTGTTGATAAAACTGGTGACCTTGACCTCAGGTCAAATTTTGAGCTTAGATCAACTTTGAGTGCTTTTTCCAGAAACCGCTAAAAGAGCTATCGAATACAGTGATTTATGGGCAATTTTGTATAAAAAAAATGAACAAGGCGAAATTTAACCTTTGATGACCTCTGTTGCTCTATTCTTTGACCTGAGGCCAGTTTTACCAACAGAAAAATAGCCGTCTGCCGGATTTTTTGCCTGAAGACCGCCTCACATACGGAACGTAAACGCGATGGGCACATAAGCGGATAGGGCTTTACCGTTAACGCTCCGTATGTGAAGCCGTCTTGAGGCGAAAATTTGCAGCAGGCGTCTATTTTATGTTGGTAAAATTGGCCTCTGACCTAAAAAAAAATGACTAGAGTAATTTCGCCATGATTTTTACGCTATTTCGAATGCCGGTTACCGCATCTTACATGCCGCTTGGCGCTTACTCCTGTGCCGCTAAGTGGCACAGGAGCCGAGCAGGAGAGTTCAATCCCCCCCCCCCCCAGCCCGGCACGGCTGGCGCCGAGCACCGCCCCAGCGCGGGTTAAAGCGTCAGTCATTGACATGCATATGCGAGCTATTGCATTAACTACTCTCACGAGCCACGGTCAGCATATTGCCCGAGTAAACATCTTGCCCGTGAGCTGAAAGGTGGGTAGTATGCATACTACCCGGGCAGTATGCAAACTTCCCGGGCGGTATGCATACTGCCCAAGGGGTCGGGTAGTATGCATACTACCCGACCCCTTGGGCAGTATGCATACTAGTGATGTCAATTACGGAAAATCGGAATACCGATACCAAACCAAATACCAACAAAAACCACGGGAAAATACCGAAACCAAACCAACTTGGGAAAATGAGGGAAATACCAACTTTTTACCGATTTCTTAGCCTCTTATACATTAGTGAGGGTTTATGATACCAACAAAATACCAAACACATTACGATTGAAATACCAAATACCAAGTTGGTATCGGTTTGGTATCGGTATACCAAAAAGTTGGTATCCGATTGACATCTCTAATGCATACCGCCCAAAAGTTTGGGCAGTTTGCATACTGCCCGCTTCTCGTCTTAAAGTTGTGCATTCCATGTCCATTTTAAAAATAAAGATGGCTCTCCGAGTAGCGTAGCTTAACTACGAGGTCTGTTTTGCCGTCAAACGCGATTTTTCGATTGAAAGATGGAATAAGAATTGGAATATAAAATGTTTCCCTTCATTGTTTATTAGCCAGCGGCCAACAAGTCATTTTCATCTGAAATGAACACAGTTCTATAGTTTAATTACTCGCTGGCTTTGGTTTGGCATCTGGACCTGTAGAGGGCGCAAGTACAGTTTCAGTAGCTAATGCTGCATGACACCATTTGCATGTAAGGCGTAACAAGTTCTTATGGTCAGGTAACTGCAGGGTAGATCAAGTGACCTTACCTCAGAAAACGTTAGAACTTGTTCGCCACAGCTATACCCCGACTGACCGATCGCTTTGAAACTTTCAGCGATCAATAACAGTAAAAGTATGCATAAAATACATGCATT